TCTTCATCAGTGGAGCCACATCTGGAAAAGACAAATCATACTGCCATCAGCTACTGCCTTGTTGAAGCATCAATAGTGATTTCCATTGCAACTCACCCTGGTTGGCTGGTGGGTGACTTCCAGCTGTGTCCAAAATAATTATCATTTTGTGCCAGTGTGCCATTGGGTAAGACTTTGTCATCTGAAGGATCATTGTTAGAGTTTCCACACATCCCTGTGACTCTGTCATGACGGTTTTGGCCCAGTCTGACCAGTAAAGTGCTATGACCATCAAACTGGACTAGCAAGTCAGAGGCATCAACCACTATGTAGCTTCCCTGCCTTACCACCTGAGCTAAGATTCCCACTGTGGTGGGAAGAGAAACATCATTTCCATTTACCTGAGAGGACAAGAGATGCAATAAGTGTGTGTTGTTACTTTTGTGCAGATTAGACAAAGTAGAATGCTGTTCATCTTAAAAGCGATAGATAGTTTACCGTTACTCTTTTATTGGGTCCGATCCTGATGTACACACTTTCTGGATGATTTGAGAGATATATGTCCACTGCTGACACAAATGACACACGGTTGTTACCACGGTGATTGTTGGTGGCTATCACCTGAAACTGAGTTTCGTTAGTGCCATGATTTGTGCTCTCAGCGATGATGTAGGAGCAAGTTCCCTGGAAATGAGCCACTGCTCCATCAAAGGTGATGTAGTGTGGATCCCCCCACACAGTGCAGGTGGACATGGCATCGTAACAGCCCAGCTGGCCGTCTCTGATGGAGCACTGCTGTTCAGGAGTGCAAGACAAGGCAGAACATCGCAGGTCATTTGGAGCGTGACATTCACATCTCTGGGAGCAACCGCCTGTCCAGAAGGACTCGCCAGCCTGTGAACCACACCACAACAAATCATAGCCAAATTGATACAACAAATATAGTTCTTAAAATACCATTTTGAAGGGTTTTGTTTTCATTAATTGTAGGTGATTTAGTGCAGTAATTGCTAGATCACTGCAAACTGCAACTATTAATGTACTAAATATTGTGACAGAGCAACTAGTCGTATCTGTTGATCTTTCTCCCACAGAAAGGACAGATGCTAAATGCCACAATTTCAAGAAATATGTGGAACAGAGCTGCATGAAAAAAAGTATTTAATTGTTCTGATGTAGCTGTATAATCTTCAACTGATTGTGTAATGCATTCATTTATTTAGCGACAGATTTTTATTTATTTATTTAAAATGCAGTTTAAAGAGTTAGAGCATCATTCTGCCTGTATAGCTACATATTAATTATTTTCTTTTTAGTGGTGTAATATAAAAAATTTGCATTTTGTAGCCTTGTTTCTTGGTTATTGAACAGAAACCAACATTGATTCCAGGTAAGATATCAGATTTAAACATAATATTTACGGTGATACTGTTGTCAAACAAAAAAGAATGTTGGTGAATGAGGCAGGATTCATTCCAGCATTATGGCAATATGGTAATGGTATCCTAATACATTAAAACTTAAAATCATATTAGTATCTTGTTACCCTATTATTATGAGGTTAGTATATATAAAAATGTGTTTTATTGCTGGTGATTGTGACTATACTATTACTAATTGTTTTTTTAAGCTCATGTACATACATTTGTATCCATATTATCACTTATAATTTATGGTCTGTTATTACATAGATTTAAATGTAATAGTATTCACTAGATCACTTGGTTATTACTCTGGAAATGAAGTGGCAATTATTTACTATATATCTAGTTTTTATCTTCCTGTTTCCACCTTGTTACCTCAATATTACCACATTATTACTGAGCTATAATAGACTCTTTTGTTTGTTTAATATATATTTCTGAATTTTAAGCTTTGTCACAGTCCAAAACACTTCACGAAGCTTTCTAAATGTAAGAAGGGCAAGTCTGCTGATTCTGCTGATTTGAAGGGAATTACTTCAGAGAGTATTTACTATTGACTTTAATATGTCTTACATCATAGTAGAATCCATCATACTGGCAGCCACAGCTTTCCACTGGGACACACCTGGTCCCACTCTTGATGAAGCCTTCATCACAGAAACATCCCTCAGAGCAGAACTGCTCACAGGTTTCATCAATGCTACTGGCACAGGTGTGGCCACAGTCAGTACCGCACAGCTCA